TCGAAGAGTGCAGAGTGCAACAAGGATGATTAGGAGACTGGAGACTAAAACACAGTGAACGATTGCAGGGACTGGGCATGGCTAGTCTAGTGAAGAGAAGGACCAGGGGAGACATGATAGCATCTTCCAATATTTGAGGAGCTGCCACAGAGAGGAAGGGGTCAAGCTATTTTGCAAAGCACCCCAAGGCCAGACAAGGAACAATGGATGGAAACTGATCAAGGAGAGATTCAACTTGGAAATAAAGAGAAATTTTCTGACCGTGAAAGCAATCAACCAATGGAACAGAAGTTGCCTTCAAAAGTTGTGGGAGCTTCATCACTGGAGACTTTCAAGAAGAGACTGGACTGCCATCAGTCAGAAATGGTGTAGAGTCTCCTTGCTTGGGTGGGGAATTGGACTATGTGACCTACAAGGTCCCTTCCAACTCTGTTAAGCTAATCTAATAACTGCAAAGAATCACTTCACTCCAGTGATTGACTTCACTGAGGTTAAAAAAAAATTGTAAAATCAGGCATGCCTCACTTAACAACCACTTTGCTTAGCAACTGGTCCTAGTTGTTGAGGACTACTTGCATCCAGTTGGCCGTCATCCTGTAGCTCTGTAGGAAGGTATTAAAGACTAAACACTTTTAGGCATTGGGTCCTGCAATTCTAGGCATTCCTATCAGGAAACATGTAGTAGTACACATTGTGGATCTCTGATTGCTTATTAACAACTGTGATTATAGTTTAAATAATTTGTTTTCTATTGTTTTAAGGTTTCCATTTTGTTGCCACAACTTGCACTGTTTTAAGTTGGGTGGCCATGTAAGTCTCTTCAATAAAATAAATAAAAGTACCCATGTTTCCCTCAAAGTATTCCCTGTCTTATTCTCCCACCACCCCAATGTACGGGAGGATGACTTCTGCTTCCCCGCACCAGTTTACCTCAGGGCCCCTGCAGCCAGGCCACCCATGCCCCGACACCTGCCTTACATCAAGGCCATGGCCCCGGCACCAGCACATCACTCGGCCTCCTGCTCTGTTGCGGCCACGATTAAGCAGAAGAAATGGGCCAGCGGTCACGTGGGCTCCTGCTGCATATGGCTGCTGGTGCTGCTGCCACAAGGCAGGTGTTAGGGCGTGGATGGCCTGGCTGCGGGGGCCATGAGGTGATCCAATGTGGTGCATGTGGGACAGCTCCACCCCCGCCTTGCCTTGTGGCCGTGGCACTGCGAGCAACCATATGGAATGGGTGGCCAGCCGGCTCTTAAGTAGGGCTTATTTTGGAGGGGGGTTAGGGCTTATACGGAGATGGAAAAACATGCTAGGGTTTATATTTAGGATAGGTCTTATTTTCAGGAAAACTATTTAATTCTGATCAGGTAGTTTGTGAACTCTTAAAATTCAATTAAATTACTATATTTTTCGGAGTATAAGACGCACTGGAGCATAAGACGCACCAAGGTTTTGAAGAGGCAAATTAAAAAAAAAAAGTTTTTGCACTCTGCAAACCTCCCCAAAAATTTTTTCCCCAAAAAAGGGCATGAATAGCCCTTAGGAGGCTTGTAGAGTGCTCCTGGGCNCAAAAACTGGCCTATTTTTGTCAAAAAAAGGGCATTAGGAAGCTTATAGAGTACTCCTGGGGGCGGGGGAGGGGGCAAAATTGAGCAAAAAATGGCCTGTTTTTCAATCATTTCTGCCTTCCCCAGCCCCCACGAGCTCTCTGAATGCCTCCTCCAAGCTAGGCACAGCCATTTTGGTGAAGGGGTGTGGTTTCAGGAGGCAAAAAATGCTGTATTCAGTGTATAAGACACACCCAGATTTTCAGCCTTTGAGGGAAAAAGGTGCGTCTTATACTCTGAAAAATACGGTACCTTACATGGATCCAGAATCTGAAAATAACATTTAAGCACAGTACAGCAGAATACTTAACCAAAATGGTTCAGTTGAGATCTGCATATGTGGGACTGATTGGGGTAGATTTCAGGGGTGGCCCCGAAATATGCTTTTATCATATTTTATCTATATCTTAAATCATTGTATTTTATTCCAGTTTCATTTTAAACTGTACTTTATTCCAGTTTCATTTTTAATCGTATCTTATTCCGATTTCATTTTAAATTGCATTTTGTCAAATTGCATTTTAAATTGCTTTTATCAAATGTTAGCAATACTTTGTTTCTGGAACTTGGCACTTTGATATGGCCCAAGGGCTAATGAATAAAGTAAATGCTAATGTTCTTTGGAGACCTTATTTTCTTTTATGTTTATGTAATATATCTCCCACTGGGGTGTGATTCAACTGTACTAATCAGTGAACGGGAATAAAACAGTACTTAAAATAATTCAGAATCATCACACTCAGTATATGCTGCAACGTTTTTATAATTCCCATGAAAATGTTTGTTTGTAGTTCAGGGTTGACATGTGGGATCCTTGGTGCTCTCTGAGCTTGCTTGTCTTCTTGCAGACGTTTCATTACCCAAACTATGTAACATCATCAGCGCTAGGAAGGAGTGGGATTTGCTCCCAGTTCTTGCTAGCACTGTTGATGTTACTTAGTTTGGGTAATGAAACGTCTGCAAGAAAACAAGCAAGCTCAGAGAGCACCAAGGACCCCAAATGTTTCTCTGATTGTAAAATTCTAAAACCATCAGTTGTCTAACTTTATTAAGAAGGTCATTGGCTTCTGTTCTTCTTCTAGGTGGGACTTATTCTAATCAATTTCACTTTAACATATTCATATCAATAGATACTGCTGCAGGATCAGAGGTAGCATGACTATCAATATCAGATGTTAGGACATAACGATAGGTAGTTACCATCAGGTCCTGTTTGTGGACTTCTCAGAAGCATTGATTTATGGCAGGGGTGTCAAACTCAAAGCCCAGGGGCTGGATCCAGCCTGCGGGGTGCTTAGATCTGGTCCTTGGGGCTGCCCTGGAAACAGCAAAGAACTGGCACGTGGTGCCTCTGCCAGCAAAATGGAGCTCCGTTTTCTCTGGCAGAGGGTTGCAGGATGCTGTTGCAGCCAAAAACAGAGCTCGCGAGGGCTGTGGGCGGCCCTCCCGAGCTCTGTCTTCGCTGGCAGAGGGCTGCTGGAAGCCGTCACAGCCGGAAATGGAGCTCAGGAGTCCGTTTTCGATGGCAGAGCACTTGGGCCAACACAGGCTTCCCCGACATGAGTGTCATCGAGCTGGTCATGTCCTGGCTCCCTGAGATCAAACACAACCAGGGGTGGGCTGCTATGTATTCGTCTGGGTTCAGGAGAACCCATAGCTAACGCTATGGCTGGTTCGGAGAACATCCAAATCCCACCCCTGGCTGGCCCCGCCCACCCCGCCCCTCCTAGAAGTGTCCATGCGGCCCATTTTGGATGCAAGGTAAGTGCAGGACCTGCTGGAGACTTGGGGAGGTGGAAAATGGGCCTCCCAGAAGTTCTGGCCTGTTTTTCTGGCTTCCGGAAGGCCTCCAGAGCCTGTGGGAAGCAGTTATTGCCCTCCTAGAGGACTGAGGAAAGACTTCGGAGCCTGGGGAAGACGAAAACGCCACTCCCCCGCCGTGGTGCAGGAGGCTGACTAGACCATGCCCATCATGGCCACGGCCACCCAGCAACCGGGCAGAGAACCCATTGTTGACATTTTTGAAGCCCACCCCTGAACACAACCCTGATGCGTCGCCCCTCAATGAAATTGAATTTTACACCCCTGGTTTATGACTATAAGGAACACAATATTAAACCATCGTACACTTGCCTCAAATGCTTTGCGGCGAAGATAGCCTGGCCATGTTTCGGCTCAGTTTGAGCCTCAGCACTTATCTTTATTAGCTTCTGCTCGTACAGTTTTGAAGCTTCTTTCGTTAAGGTCTCAAATTCTTTTCCAGGGCATATGGATACACTTGGCGCAATAAATATGTCAAGATGGTATGGCTGGAAAATAACGTTAGCGAGATTGTAGTTCTAGGGTTGGTCAGTTCAGGTTTAAACGTGTTAAGAGGAGGGAGAGCAAGTTTATGAAGATAGTCACATTCCTAGAGTGGGAAGGGATGTCTGATCAAAAGATACTCCTCCCTGATTTGAGGTAAAAGCACGTTCAAATAATTGTAGTCAAATGAGAATTGTGGTACATTGATAGTAAGATATGCAAAGATTTTTGATTTAAAGTGTATAATCTAATATGAACTATAAATAATTGTGGAAGAAATGCACGAAAGTTATCTGTAACCGATCGACACGCTTTCTACAAGATGTAATGAAGGATGATTCNATTTTAATAAATAGTGTAAATAAATAAATAAGGGATGTGGTGGCTCAGTGGCTAAGACTCTGAGCTTGTCGATCAGAAAGGTTGACAGTTTGAATCCCTAGTGCTGCGTAATGGAGTGAGCTCCGGTGACTTGTCCCAGCTTCTGCCAACCTAGCAGTTCAAAAGCACGTAAACATGCAAGTAGAAAAATAGGAACCACCTTTGGTGGGAAGGGAACAGCGTTCTGTCCGCTTTTGGCATTTAGTCATGCCGGCAACATGACCCCGGAGACGTCTTCGGACAGCGCTGGCTCTTTGGCTTTGAAACGGAGATGAGCACCGCCCCCTAGAGTCGGGAACAACTAGCCTTTACCTTTAATTTCATTGAATGCAAATATAAACATTTGGTCAGCTTAGAGTCCCCCCCCCCCATGGTAACAGATATGACCCTATCATTATGCAGATGCTCACAGTCCTTTATATTAAGGCAAACCTTTGAAATATAAGGCAGTAAAACTGAGATTCCTGCTGGAGGTGTTGGAACTATGAATGTCATGAGGTTCTTTGAAGTGTTGCGAACGGCACTCCTGATGGACCAAAGAGGAGGAAGAAAGCATACTTACTACTTTCCCACTACAGCCTCCCACCTTGTTTCCTAACCTAATCCTCTGCGGACAGTTTTGGGAGACACAAGCGACTGGCCAGGGAAAGGAGGCATCTGAAAATCACATCCTCTTCTTGCTTTCGTAGGAGCATCTGCTGAGGATAGTTCTGCTCACGGGAACCTTTGATCCAAAGCATTTGCCACCTGCGGATGTTTATTTATTTATTTAAGAAAATAGGACCTCTCTTTCCCTGCCACGTTGAATGTAACAACCTACCTACCTTTGATTGTTTCAGGCGAATACTGGGAAAATTCTATTTTTGGTCTCCTGGTTTTGGGGCTGCTCTCCCGGCGTCCTACTTAGCTATTCTTATTGAAAGGAAGAGCAGGTAGGTGTTTTTACATCCTTTACAAACTAAACAGAATTGTCTGATGACATAATGACGATGTTATCCATCCAGTCGTGTCTGATTCTTGGCGATTCTGTGGGCCAGGTCTCTCCACAATGTCCGATCTTGCACTGCTTCTTATTTTGCTGTTCTATGCGCTGGCTGGTATGAGCTTGGATGGGTGTCCAGCCACCTTGTTTTTTTGGGAAGACCTGGCTCACATCCTATTTGATTGTTGCTTTTTCCAAAACAAATACATATAACCACAAGTATACCATTATATCTTAACGATCACTATTTTATATTATCCAATATTATATCAATTCCTCTTCAATCTACCACCACTGTCATTCACTCTTCTGCTTTCCATACACCATATTATACCTTATTTCATCTCCGCCCTATCTTCTCTCCCTTTCTCCTCTTCCCTACCTCCTTTCTTCCCTCTACCATCCCTCTTTTCTCTACTTCCCCATCCTCCTTCTCTCTCTCCTACTCTTTCTCTCCCTTCCTATCTCCTCTCTTCCTCCTTTTCTCTCCCTTCCTCCTTTCCACTCTCTTCACTTAGTTTGCATGGTGTATTTCGGCATCTGAACAAACTTTCTTTAATATTGTTTGTATTAATAATTGAATTCTAATAAACATCTTTCATATTAATAGCTTTACCTATGTCCTCCTTTTAACAGTATACATATATAAGAATTTCATTGTTATTCCTCCCCCCCCCCCCAGCATATTTTTTGGCCAAAGTGTGAGCTGAGTTCAAGTTTCCAGCTATCCTCATAGTAATATTTACATAGTTGTACATCGTTAAGTGCCCCAAATTTTTCTATTTGGTTGTTGTTTGTATCAGAGGGTGAGAGACAGGTACTTATGTCTATATACCAAACGAATGACCCATTTGGATTTCCATATTGAAACATATTATCGTATTTTTCAGAGTATAAGATGCACCGGAGTATAAGATGCACCAAGGTTTTTAAGAGGCAAATTAAAAAAAAAAGTTTTTGTACCCTGCAAACCTCCCCAAAATGGCCCGTTTGTTTTTTTTAAAAAAGGACATGAATAACCCTTAAGGGGGGGGGAGGGTGTTCCGGGGGGGGGGGAGGCGAGCAAAAAACGGTCTGTTTTTCGCAAAAACTTTTTTTTTTAATTAGCTAATGAATGCCATTATGTGGTTGTGTCTTTAAGTATGAACGATTTGAGGTAAAAGCACGTTCAAATAATTGTAGTCAAATGAGAATTGTGGCACACTAATAGTAAGATATACAAAGATTTTTGATTTAAAGTGTATAATCTAATATGAACT